GGTTAGTATATTTAAAATGGATAAATGTAGTATAAAAATATTGTTACTATGCCCATGTTTAGTTGACCTGATACAAATGTTTATCCTCCAAAAATAGTTGGGGGCACAGGTCTCTGCTACTGTTATTTTGTGGGTCAAAAGTTGAAAAGTTTTGGAACCAGTGCACTTTGGTTCCCAAAGTTGGGCTTGGGACCCAATTATGGGTTATAAAGCACCTTGGATAATCTCCAGAAATCAATTTAAAGGATAATAAAATAATTGCTGATGTAATATTTTCTCTGTAATTATTACAAAAACACAAAATAAGTAAAAATAAGTATTTATATTTGTGTACAAGCTGTTTAGATTGTCAAAAATCCTGTGTTTTTAGGGTTATTAACAAAGTTTGTGTACTCAGACCAGTAATATTTGGGGTCACAAGGTTTTGCCTTGGATATTTTGTGGGTCAGAAGATAAAAAGTTTGGGAACCACTGCTCTAAAGTATGCAGATTGTACATCAGCGGCCACGTACCGTTTCATAGATAGGTGGTTCTGAAGACATGTACTCGCAGAGGCCTCCTTCTTTCAGATCAGGACCAGGAAGGGATTCGTTGCGACAGGAGCACGGGAAGAGCTTCTGGGTGCTGTTCTTGATCAAAAGATTCTCCGACCAGTTGCCCGGACTGGTCCATCCACAGCAGTTCATCTGGATGACGTGAAAGAAAAGGGGAAATGGTTTTAAAAACGATGAGGCAAAGAAAACGTGTGTAGAGGATGGAGTTTAAATAAAGCAAAGAGAGACAGAAAATAATGTGACGTGAGATGAAGACCAACACTTCTGAAGCAATTTCATCCTGGCAGTCGTTTCTACAGAAATCAGAACAAAAGGGACTTGGCAGAACCGAGCACAGGAGATGAAAGGAGGACATAGAAGGCTATAGGCTGATTAACTGAAAGAGCCGGTGCATCCAAAGGGCAAAAACATACAGACTTTCTAAGTTTCAGTATCTACGTCTGAGAGCTGCCAGAAAGAAACAATGAAAGTGAAGAGATTCTGGTCTAATCACACGAAGCACTAAAGTTATTAAAACAGCAGCAGCAATAGTTTATCAAAGTCTCACTTATTCATCATAAAAAAGGCAAAATGAGACTAAAAACCAGATGCATTTAAATGTATAGAATAAAAAGACGGTACAAAAAAATCTAACTCTTCAAGAACTTTAGAAAGGACTATTGTTGGTTTATCTGGAGGCCCGCTGCTGCTCGGCCCTACCGGTGGGGTGTGCGGCTGGCTGCCAGCGTGCTGGGGGTTCCCGGGGTCTGGGGCTGGGCGCTGTGGTGTGTGCCGGCCTGGCCTGGTGACTGCCTGTTGGGGTTCGGGGCCTCTGGGCCTGTCGGGCTTTGGCCTGGAGAGGGTGCGCCCTGGGGGCCCAGACCTCTGTGCCCTTTCCTGGATCTGCTTTGGTATGGCGGGTGCCGGTGGGACCCATGAGTTTGTCGCTGCTGGCCCCGGGGGCTGTGCGTGTGGTCGCTGGGGGGACTTTCCCAGTTCTCCCCTATGGTCTGATCTTCGGATCTTCCCGTGCGGGTGCCCGTTGGGGCTCTGCGCTCGGGATTCCTCTCAGGCCCTTGGGCTCTGGTCTATGGCTGCCTCGTGTCTTGGGGGTTGGGTCTTGGTCCTCCACAGTCACTATTAAAT